ATCAAAAGCCAAAAACAAAATGACTAAAAATAACATAAAAAATAAATTAAACCTAAATTGTAAATCCCTTTTTTTTTTTTTTTTGTGGTGGAAATGAGCTTCCATAATTAAAACCCATAAAAATTTCATTTCGTGAAATAAAACAAACATTAACTAAAAATAAAATATATTTTTAAAAAACTTGGATGGATTTTATTTCAGCTACTTGCCAAGGCAACATTTCTCATTTTCGTTAAAAGCTGAGGTACTAAAATAACTAAAACTAAAATTTGAAAGTTATAAAAAAAGACAAAAACACAACAACTTAAATTAAAATGAAAACATAAATAATAAAAATAAAATCTAATTCAAAATATTAACAAAATATAATAGTATATCAATGATACTTAAATAACACTGTAATTTACTCACCCATAACAGTCTTATGACTCTTTCTTCTGTAGAGGGAAAAAAACAACAACAACAACCCATCATTTAATGAATTTGCAGTAGCGTGAATTCAAAGCAATTGCAGTACAACTTTTTCTAAATAACTGGTTTCGAACACATGTATGTGTGTGTGTGTGTATTTATATATACATATAAATATACACAGCACATACATATATATTGTGTAACACAAACTTTTATTTTGGATGCGATTAATCACAATTAATCAATTTGACAGCCCTAAATATAATATAATATAAAAATACAATTCCATCAATTACATTTTTTATAAGAAATTAATACTTTTATTCAGCAAGGGTTAATCATTAAAATTAAAAATGACAAATAATTACAATTAAATACATTTATAATGTTACAAAGCGATTTCTATTTCACATAAATGCTGTTTTCGTGTTATTTCTATTCATTAAAAAATACCACAAAAATGTGATGCTCACGTCACTGGAGGTGTGAACACACACACTTTTGTATTCATCCCTGCAACTTGTACCAAAATGTTATCTGCTAACTCTATTTCATTCTTTTGTGATAAGTCATTTGAGTTTCCGTTGATTTGATAAATAATTGCGTCTCACACATTTTAAATTGTAATAATATTTCACAATATTACTGTTTTTGCTGTATTTTTGATCAAATAAATGCAGTCTTAGTGAACAGAAGAGACTTCTTTCAAAAATATTCCAAAATCTTACTGACCCCAAACTTAGTATATCTGTAGTGCTTAGTGTTTATCTAACTACCTTGTTTTCCCAGGGTGATTTGGCAGATTCTTTCTACATTGTAGAGTCAGGACACGTTAGGATCACTATGAAGAGGAGCAAGGTGAGTCAAATGATCGGTTTTAACGAAGAATCAGCACAATTCAGTTCATTATGCGTCTTAAAGGGGTCATATGATGCTTTTTTAAAGATCATTATTACTAATATATTTCATGAGATTGAGCACAATTTGTGAGTACAAACTGAATTAATTTTTTAACAGTTGTTTTTCCATCACAAACAACTGATAAAGTCATTTGAATGAATGGTTCATCTAATTTAAGTAATTTAGCTATCTGTTATAATATGTATAATTATGTCATAATATAATATTTAAGGCTGTCAAATTGATTAATCGCATCCAAAATAAAAGTTTGTGTTTACACAATATATATGTATGTGCTGTGTATATTTATATGTATATATAAATACACACACATACATACATGTATTTAAGAAAGAAATATAGGGGTAGATATGTGGGGGCGTGTTAGAACCAGCCGTTTTAGGGGGGCGTGGCAGAGTCTTAACTTTGATAAAGAATATCTCTTTGGTTTTGAGATTTTAGTCTTTGCAACTTCAGGGATCTTATCTATGCACAATCAGCTTGTAACACTCCAAAGAGAAAGGAAAACTTGAAATCGCATCATATGACCCCTTTAATAAACCAACAAATCCTTCAGCTTGAAAAGATTCACTTGCATTTACATGACATTGTTTTTTTTCAGTCAAAAAACGATGCTGAAGACGAGGAGGTGGAAATCGCCACATGCTCTAGAGGCCAGTATTTTGGAGAGCTGGCACTCGTCACTAACAAGCCACGGGCAGCATCTGCATATGCCATGGACAGCGTCAAATGCTTAGGTAATGCATTATAAATGATATAACATAATGCATCGCAGCTGCACAGCGGGTCATGTGATCATTCACCTTGTGCTTCACAGTAATGGACGTGCAGGCGTTTGAGAGGTTATTAGGCCCCTGCATGGACATCATGAAACGAAACATAGCGAATTACGAGGAGCAGCTGATCACGCTCTTCGAGAGTCACATCGCAATAGAGGAGCCGGATGCATGAAATCAGTTCATCAATAAACATCGCAAACTTAAAATGCAACATGAAACGATGAGAACATGGTAAGTAGAGGCCCGTCATCATGGTCAAGAAATCGTGTTAACATAGGTCATAAACTTGAAGTTATTGTTTGGCATTAACAGATGTGTGTCAATGATCATGATTTTTTTTTTTAGATGTGAAAAGCCAAATGTGAGCATTTTCCTCCAGGGAGGTTTATGGGAGTTTCCTCATAGCTATTTGGTATCGAAACTTTTCTCGTTTTTTATCTTGGTTGCTGTTTCTTTCACATGCTGCGTCTTTTACAGTGACGTCCACACAAAGACTGCATTATTATGCCATATACAGTACAGTAACATGTTCATTTATTCTTTTGAAGCTATATTTCTGGATTTTAAAATCGGCTGTTGAGCATCTGTTAATGTTTTCAGTGTTATGTAAGTCATTTTTACTGTAAGAAATTTTTGACTAAATATGAATTCAGCACCTGAGCTTCATGAATTGCATCTTGATGATACCTGTTACAAAAAACGTGAACAGTTACAAATTATGGACAACATGTCAGAGTTTAAAGTCAACATGAAAACTAAATGTGAACATTTTTACCTAGAGCACATTAGTTAAAAAAAATGTTTGTATTAAAAATGGCAATGCCTCTAAACCAACATTTGTTTTCAGATGAAATCACACATTTATTCTGGTATGAACACCCATTTTTTTTTACTGTCCAATCAATTCTAATAAATAAAATCAGGTCCCATCCATTTTTTTTTTCTTGTTGAATATCCTATTTAACTTATTTAATACTTCAGATTACAGAAGTAAAATTAGTTGTAAACTGTGTTTCACGTTGACTTTAATACTCAAGTTTCATTACGCTTCCACGAGTTAATAAACTTTCAAATTGCTTGAGAATATGATATGAGAAAAGGAGACGGAGATGCACAGACTTGATTACATATAAAAATGAAAATGCAGTCTGAATGTTATTGCACTTTGATGCCAGTGTAATGAAAATACCTAATTTGATGGAATAGTTCACCCAAAAATGAACATGTGCTCACCCTCAGACCATCCAAGATGTAGATGAGTTTGTTTCTTCATCAGATTTGGAGAAATGTAGCATTGCATCACTTGCTCACCAATGGATCCTCTGCAGTGAATGGGTGCCGTCAGAATAACTAACAATATTACTGATAATAACAGCTGGTGTGGATTATTGTGATGTTTTTATCAGCTGTTTGGACTCTCATTCTGACGGCACCCATTCACTGCAGAGCATCCATTGCTGAGACACTGATGCAATGCTACATTTCTCCAAATCTGATGAAAAAACAAACTCATCTACATCTTGGATGGTCTGAGGGTGAGCACATTTTCAGCAAATGTTCATTTCTGGGTGAACTTGAGAATCCACAGCTCTACGTGTTTTTAATTCCTTCTTTAGGTCTTTTAGAGAAGCTCCTCAATGCCACATATGAATAGTAAATATAGGCATTGTGTATCTTTACTTTTAAAATGGTGTAGCACATTTTTATGATTTGTTCACATCTTCAGTTTTTTTTTAAGTACTTCACAATGAACTGAGATGCACAAATTGTACGTTCACATTCATTTTCTAGATGCTCAAAAAGTAACCAAGGACATTTGCTTTCTCTGAAGAAGTCTGAATGAGTCCTCTCTTTGTATGCATATATTTTTGAGTTACGTTTATTTTGTTTCTGGTAGCTTTTGGCTCCTTCAAAACACTTGCTTTATTCTTCATTCCCACAGTATTTGGACACTGTTTTTCTCTATCTCTTGATGTATGAGAAGTTCGTCCTTGTTAATTGGATCTTTTGCTTCACAGCAAGTCATGCATTACTAGTAGTGTGCATTTCTTCCTAAAACATTACTGAAGATTCATTACTGTCTACCTCTAATATGAACAGCTTAGCCATCATCACCTCTTCCCATGTAGATGCCCACAGGTTTGTCTCTTGGTAAACTAACCTGTAGTGAATCCCTAAACCATATCTGTGTGTCAGTGTAACTTTACACCATTTCTAATGACTTTTAATTGCCAATCAGTGCTCATTTCTGTGTGAATTTCTGCCACCTAAAAGTCGCTAATGCTTTTTATGTCCTGAAAAATGGATCAAAGGTCTACAGTCTCTTGGTGCAAGAGAGCCTAGTATTATACTGTCAGTTATATTTGACTTTCCATTCAAATAAAGAACAATTTTGTATTTAAATCATGTTGTGATTATTACAGCTAAGTCCTATGCTACAAATAATATGCATGTGTGACCTCACTGAGTAACATTTTGATAGAAATGCCATTAAACTTCCTCAGATATTTTTATTTTTATATAATTTACGCGTCCATAACGTGCGTTTATGCGGCCAATCATCAGCTATATCACTTTTAATGAGCTGTAATATTATCCAAATGCAAGGTCCAATGTTTGTTTACATCGTCTCAAGACGATACATACCTCAAATCCCCTATTTAACAAAGTGGGAGGGTCTTTCAAAAAAAAAAAAACGTATCAGCCAATCAGATTCACGGCTGATGTAACGGGCATGCAGAACTAGCCAATCACAAACACAATAACAAACCATCTATGTCTAACCCAGTGTGCGAGCGACTAGCCAATCACGCTTCGAGCTCACCAAACTGACGTGCGTTTCCACCAATGGGAGGCCAGATCTAAAAGTAATCAAGTCCTGCCTTCGCGGAGAACGCCAGAGATACTCTGTAATGGCGACAGGTTTGGTAAGTAAAAAAGTTGTTGAAATATTACCACGAAACGAAACGGTAATGTCAATTAACTTTATTTTGCTTGGCTATTTTAGACGGCGACGGTTGAGGCCGCGAGGAGCAAAAAGACTGTCATTCATTGTTTCGATCGCAAATGACAACTTTTCACTTGAAGGGTTTTTTTTCCTCTGTGACGTTTGTTGTTATGCTTGTGGTTTAGTAATCCTTTACCTCACCATAGCGACAATAATTAAAAACAACCAGTCGTGTTTTTTCCATTTAAACCCAGAAGAAAATAGGGTCTCCATTCATTACAGCGGGGTTAAAGGAAGTACTTGATGTACCATGTCTCAACTTGTTGACATTCTTTTGTTTACAGCTCCCACTGTTGACATTTGAGTTTATTTTTAAGCATTTATCGTCATTATTCTACATCGATCAAACGTCTGATGTCGAGCTGGATGTTCTGTATAAGATGTCGTTTGATTAAATACTGCAGTTGTTAATTAGTTTTTGACGATTTTTTCCAAACAAAGACCGTCGTATTGTTTCGACAGCCGTATTGAAGTTATTGTTCTCGTGTTCAGCTATAACAACGACAATATTCGTTTTAAAATATCAGTTATAAGCCAAAACATCTATGCGCTTCCGTTTGTTTTGTTTTCGTTAATTCGCGAGTGCAGAAAAATCGTGTTTTCTTCCTGTGTGGAAAAACTGAAACCGTCGAGCGAGCGAAATGGCCACAAATTAAAGCTTTCCACTCATAAACACGGACTTATCTTCGATCGGATCGAACTGGGGGACTTCCATCTGCGATTATCAAAAGTTACGGTGATTTTTATAGCGCAATCTATCGCTGTTATTGATCCCCCGTTGTTACGCAGTTATGAATGAATGAGCTGCGCTGCGCATGCGCGAAGTCACAGAAAGTTTATAAACAAGCCAATGCGGGTCACGTGACCACGCTTCACAGAAACGGGGCAGAACGCGTTATTTAACACGACGAAATTTGTTTTAAGGATCCAAGCCTTTTAATTTCTCTCATTTCATTAAGAAGCGAATGCTACCAGTGCTCTACGTGATCGGACAGTGGCCAAGAACCTATTGCACAATACCCAACAGAACAGTTGTTGTTCCTGTGTTTACTTCTGTTGTCCCACATTCATTCATTCATTCATTCATTCAACACAAATGCCTACAAAGTAAAAATGTGCAAGTAAGCTGGTTTGGAAATTACCTACCCATTTTGCTTTCGCTTTAACGCTTCACTTGCATTCACAGCCTGCACAGCTGACATGTCATAATATGGTGTGGGAAGTGAAAACTCAGTCGGTCCCTCAGAGAGTCCAGGAAATCCAGACACAGAGCTCAGGTATGGACGAGGCCTTCGATCTGCTTAAATGCAACGAGCGCCTGCCCTCCTCACCTGGCTGCCCTTCTAATGAGAGTCACATGGAGTACGGTAATTATGTTTACCGCTCGTATTTTCTTCTGAAAACGTGAAAATCTAATTTCTGATTCCAAACACTATTTGCAATGACAGTTTCCGTCTCTGCAGATGACCTGCCTGAGCTGCAGGAGGTGCAGGATGACCGGTCGACCCCGGGCGTGTTCCAGGTGGCCCCGGGTGTGTCGCATCATGAGGAGGGGCCCGTCGAGGGCTGGAGCTCCAGGCCTGAGGGCAGTGTTTCACACACAAACTGGCTGACTGAGCTGGCCAACATCGCCACCAGCCCTCAAAGCCCCCTGCTCCAGGACGCTCCACACAACCGGTCAGGAAATCCTGGCATTTCTACAATTGCACATGAATGTAAATTGCACAGCACAGCTGTACTGATGATGCATTATCATTGCAGGTCTTCTCCTGTCCACATCTTCTCCAACAGTAGCAGTTTACATTCCTATGCTAGACCCCCTCTGTCTTCCAGCAGCGCTCCCAGTCCCGCCCGCAGCCACATGAGGGAACGCCGTCGCACCAGGGTACCACCACGGGCCTTTACAAATGTAAACACTAGGGATGCACCGATGTATCGGCCACCGATATTTATCGGACGATTTTTCCTCAATTTACAACCATCGGCATATCGGCTATATAAGGAAAAAGGCCGATATAACAAACCGATGGTTTATTAATTAACTGCGTGAAGGCACTGAGCTGTATAATGTCTGTTGCACAATCCTAGCGCTGCTGTCTGCACTTTAATGCTAAACAAATAACAAAAGATCGCACACCTTTTCTTGACTAAATAACTTTTGTAACTTTCATAAGTGTAGCGGACCTTATCTGAATGATGACCAAAACTTTACTGATGTTTTATTAAGTTTATTGCGTTCTTTTTCACTCCAAAAAAATCACCGTCCTCTGTTTCTCTCTGCGCCGCTGCTGTCTGCTGATTGAA